CACACTCTTTAGTCTTCTCTGGTCTCCCTGCAAAAGGAGTTTGGAAGAGGGAGAAGTAAAATTAACAGAAACTGATATTGATCCCTTTAGCTGAATTTCTATTAAGTAAACAATGCAGTTGCTATGACCACTGGCTTATCTCTGACCTGTGAATTATTTCTCTGTTATGTGCCTTGTGTGTCATTACATGTTATGAACCTTTAGATGATGAGACCAAATTGGTAATATGGATAATTGGAGAGAGAAAAAGATTGTATTGCAGCAATCTTTCCTGTAAACATTTTTAAATTGAGTTTGAAAAAAAATCCTCAATCATACTCACTGCTTCCAACAAAGGTACATAGATATCTTTAAAATGAAATAGGCTACACTATATATAGATTACAACTCGGTCTGAAGTGTAGAGTAGCAAACAATGCTTGAACCCTTTTTAGCATTAATGGCCTGCAGGTATAAGTAGCAAGGTATTGCTTCATGGCAAGAGGCCTAGGTACATGACACACATTATGATGTGATTTATATATATATATATATATATATATATATATATAGAGGACCGTTTCGGTTAGCAAGGTCTTCTTTTTTTTTTTTTTTTTTTTTTAACTACGATTCTCAATGATTTTCTCTGGTACATTAGTATCTCTTCGATGCGTATCCAAATGTAAACAAATGACATCACACATGAAATAGACAAAGTCCAACAATTATTTTAAGACATTTTTTTATGTTTATACGTTCTTTTTATAGATACAAATATTCAAGTTCCGTATAGGATACACACACATTTTCTTTGAAAATTTCTCTGACGTTCAGGCCGGTAAATGTCGTTAATACTGTTTATTATAAACAGAGCATTTACTTAAATATATTTGTATCTATAAAAAGAACGTATAAACATAAAAAATGTCTTTGAGAGATATATATATATATGTGTGTGTGTGTGTGTGTGTGTGTGTGTATATATATATATATATATATATAATATGCTGCTTTGTGGCACCATCTCGAAAGAGGATATCCCAAGATCATTACAATGTTAAGTTGTTAACCATTTCAAGTCTAAATTCAACTGTTACCTTCCCTACATATCCTGTAAACTGTATCTCTTACTCTGTAACCCTCTACCTCCTGTTAATGTTTGCTGTATGAGGGTCCAGCAGCTCAGTTCTTAGAACCAAACAGCCAGACTACCCACACTTATCATTTGATTATAGTGGTGAAGGCTTGTACAGAACAAACCACACTTTTTGAAAAGCTGAATATAGACAATTGAAGCACCTTAAACGACTCATCCGCTTTTAAGTTCAGTTGTGAGAAAAGGATAAAAACAGTGAATTTTAAAACTGGAAAAGGTTTCCTAGGAAACCATAGTATGAGAGAGGGGTGGGGAGAAGGACTCTGGGGTAGCCTGGCATTCCAAAAAAGATTGATTTTAGGCTAAGACCTCTTTCCAGTGGTCAGCTTATAAAACTAGAAAGTATTTTTAGTCCCTTTTAAAAGGATGGGATCTCTAACCAAACACCATAAATCTGTTTATTAAATTTATTTAAATTTTATGTTTTGGTTTTCAAATTATTTTTTTTTTTATTTGTTTATTTTTTTTTTAACCAGTGTTTCAAGATGTTTCTTCTAACCCGTTGGTGGGCCCACCACATCACCTCCCGCTATGGGGGCACACACATACCATATTGTCTAGTATTCAAAATCCTATTTTGAAACCAGTTACAAACGCAATTTCAGTCATACAATCAATTCAACTATTTTGAGAATCAGTTTAAAAGATAAATCAACATTGTGGTCAGGTTAAAGCCATAAAAATTAAAAGCGACATTAAGTATAAAAATTTAACATGCCAGCTTAAATATAATTTTTACTTATATATTTTGAAAGTTGCATGTGCATGAAAAAAAATGTTGATTGTTCTGCTAACATATTCAGATTTCTTTCTACAGTTAAGAGATTTATCTTTTCTTTTATTTCTTCTTTTTTTTTTTTTTTTTTTTTTTTTACAATTTTATTTATTAGTTAGTTTTTATTTTTCTTTTTTTTTTTCTTTTAATTATTTTGGCAGCAAATTGAAAGTGGTGGGTGAGGGTCAAGAAATAACCTTATGATTGTTGAACTCTATACGCTTTCTCTCCTCTTCTTACTGGAGGAATGTGTTGGTTTTCTTTTTTTTTTTTCATTTTTTTTTTTTCTTTGAGGAGATACAAGCAAAATGATGGAGGGGTTGAGACTAAAGCAAAACTCTGAATAATAAAAACTAAACATAAAATAAAAACAAATACTTTAATTTATATTACAGTGCATTTGAGATGACCTTGGAAGGCCATACTTGCATTGTCAACTGAATCATTTTATATCAGGGTGGTGGTTTTCTGTGCCTGTGAAGGTGTTGGAGATATGTTATTTTTATTTCTTGTTTGGAGTTGGGAAGAGGAAGAGAAAAACAAAACTTAACCTATATCATTGTTAATAATTAAAATTGACTGCTGAGTTCAGAGGTCAACTTCCTACTGCTAAAAACATCAACAGTACATTTTTATTGCTAAATCTTGTTTCCTTTTTAAGGGTTTGACTAAACTTGAAGGGAAAGAGGTAGTGGTGATGGGGTTAAGTTTTGAATTAATGTCTCCTTATCACCAGACACAAATTGGTAGGTATCTCCACTAATTCACCATTCAGACTATTGTCCTCTTTGCCATATTTATCACAACATTTCAGCCATTGTATGCTCCGGCCTTCTTCAGGTTGGAATGTTGAACTGAACCCTTTATTTTACTCGCTGGGGTAGACTGTTCTAGTTCCACGTGCCATGTCTAATGGATGTCAGTTATCTCCTGTTAATTCCCCTCTCCAAGTTCTCCACCACCTTAACCAGGTATTGAACTCACACTCTTTTGGGTCCTGTCACTGGATATAACTGTGTATGAATTTCTGGATATTATAAACCTAATGTCTTCAGCAACCATTTTTACCACATTAAGACATTATTTAATTAGAAAATTTTTTAATGGCTTTTTTTATAAATATATGTTAAGGACAATTTTTACAAGTATTATTTTTTCTTCTTTTTTTTTTTTTGCTTTTTTTTTAATTCTAAATATAAAATGTGATAAACTTGTTAAATCTTTTAAAATTAAGTTTCAATCAGTTCCATTTAGGGAATGCAGTTATTAATTAGAGCTATCTTTAGAGGTCATAAATTTGAAAGTTTATTATGATCTAAGATCCCCCCCCCGGCATTTTTTAAAATAATTTTACACTTTTTTTGAGTGTGCGTAAAAACATTTTCCTTTCAAATATATGGATTTTTTTTTTTCCTCTCATAGCAATAAACTGCTGTCAACACGTGTTGGATTTTCAGTTGACTTTGACCCACAAACATTGTCACATTTTAAAGTTTTTTTTTTTTTTTTTTTTTTTTTTTTTTTTTTTTTTTTTCTTTTTTTTTTATAATTTGTTTTTCAGTGAGAGATATACTACAATTATTAATTTTCTTTTTTTAGTTTCAATTCTAGTGACGCAAACAAAACAAACATTAAAAATTAACACCTGCACAACAAAAAGAATATTTCATAACAATGACAGTTAACTATAAGGTACCTATTTTATGGTATTATTTTTAATTATTGATTTATTGAAGCAAATCAGTTGTGAAACATTTTTTATAACAGAGATATAAAAATTAATAATAAATAAAAATAATTCCATAAAATTTAGAGATAAATAAAATAAGAGATGTTTGTAAAAATTAGCTACCTTGAGTCTCTTATGAAATTTTCTCATTTTCAGTTATGCAATTTTAATTTATTTTATTGTTAGTATTTTAAATTTTATTTTTCCAGAAAACATCTACAAACTTAAAGCTTTAAAGTACTTTAAAAAAAAAATTTAATAAAATATTAGATTATTGAAAGTATTTATTTTTAAGAATTACTGTATAGTTAGTTCACTTAAGATTCGAAAAAATTACATCACTTCTGTTTTCCTGTCCGATATCTTCCCCTAAGCTGTCATTGATTTAACTGTCATTTAACACCTCCAAAATGAGTCACTGCAGTTAAGATATGCTTTTTAATAGTGTTCTGCTGGTGCAAGAAAAACGAGATTTTTTAATCAAAATTTCAAATGTTCTAAAAAAAAAAAAAAAAATAAAATAAATAAATCAAAAGATATTTTGGCCTTTCCTCTTAATAACAAATATTTAAATGATAAATTAATTTCATCCTGTTGTAGATACCTGATATAGTATTCTTATATGTTGCCTTATTTCCTGGAGTTCACATTCTGATCTAGGTTCAGTGCAGGTATATCAGTTATAATTTTGAGATCCTTACAATGAATATTGTACCAAGATAAAGGGATCTTCTATAGTTGGATTTTACAAGTGGTTGCTATGGAAATATCGATATCTGTGAACTGATAAGTTTGCAATGTTGCATCTGTGTGAGAGAAGCAGTTGAGATGTATTAGCAAAGCCAGGAATAAGAACAGCTTACACTGTTGAACTAAAGAGTTTTGGCTGAATTTCTCAGATCAATTTTTGTTTTTTATGGTTACACAATGATTTTTGGCTGATGTCACCTTGACCATTAGTTGTAAGTTTAATGTGTCCTGTGATCATCAAATTCTCCAAGTCTTTCCTCATTATTTGTTCCAGAAATTTTCATCTGTTCTCTTTTTGATAAGCAGAAATGTCTTTTTGTTTTTTGTTGTTGTTGTTTTTTTTTTGTTTTTGTTTTTTTTTTTTGCTCCTATTTTCCTTAACTTTCTCTTTGATTACATACTCTGTACATCATCTTTCTATAGAATCACATGAATATTGTCTCAGCATTCCTCTTCATCTGTATGGAAATTGTCCACCATTCACTACTATTTAAGAGGATTGACATGACATAACAATTCAGCACTTTTATTTGTTTCTGATTAAATTTTTTAATAATATTAATTCTGATTTTCTGCTTTTTTTTTTTTTTTTTTTTTTTTTTTTTTCCCAGGGGCTGGTGCTTTTCAGAAGCCGGGAAGGCATTAAGCCAATAAGATAAACTAAAAAAAAAAAAACGAAACAAAAAAACAAGACTTATTTAATCAAAAACCAAATTTTTACAAACTGGGAGAAACTTAAACTGGATTCAAGATGTTGCTCGTGAAAGACAAGGATCCTACCTGAATTTTTATTCTCAGTGCCAACAAAAGACTGTTCTTCTAATTTATTTGTTTTAAGGAAAACTCACTCTCTAGCTTTCATTCTTTTTTTTTTTTTTTTTTTTTTTAACCCCCCTCCCTTTGGCTGAAACAAAGGGAACATAGAAACGTTAGAATTTAAAATTAAAAAAAAAAAAAAAAAACATAAAATTATTGAGAAGGTGGCTGTGTGGTTACACAACTCCCTTAGCTCCTGCCCCAACCTTCTCTCCCCACCCACCGCTTATAGCAAAAAATAAAATAATTTCCTCTTTTTTTTTTTTTTTTTTTTTTTTTTTTATTTATGCCTCCATATTGTTATTCTATATTCTGCCACCACCACTCTTGTTTTAGTTTAAAATAGTTTTTAACCCTGTAGTTTTTCCCGATCAGTCATATGAAACGTAAAGACGAACGCAGACCTCTTCTGTTGACATTTTCGGACAACCACCGGAAGATGCTACAGGAAATTCGGGATAATTTAAGTCACCTTCAACGAAATCAGAATGAGTTGACACAAAGCACTCCGGATTTACTGGACAAAAGCGGTAATGTAAAAACCACACGGACGGATTACCATCAAAAAGCGTTGGCAGAGATTCGAAAAAGTCTCAAGCCATATGCCAACAGTGACGCTGCCACTGTTGTGGTTCACTACGGTGTTGATGTGGATAGTTCTAACTCTCAGGGCAACAAACAAGTACAGACAACTCATATTTCTGTTGGCTACGATGAGGTAAGTCTAATTACTTTGTGTATATCTCCAGGTGTATCTCGTTTTCCTACCTAGGACCCACCATACCACGTACACAAACTTGACTCATTCTTTCATATTTCATTGATAAGTTCCCCTCAGCCAGATTCTCCCCAACCCCAGAACTGTTGCATTGTGGAACAGACTCCCAAGAGGATACTTCCCTGATCCCTATGATCTTGGCCTCTTCAAGTCGTGGGTCAGCTACTATCTATCCTACATATCCTCATAATAGCACCCCTAGGTCCCTCCTATGCTCTTACATCTTCATTTTTATAATATTCTACCTTGAGTGACTCTTGGGTTTTGTTACAGTAAAGGAGAAGAAATTATTTTTTTATCCCAATTTTAAGCATTGAAGATGAAACTAATTCAAAACGAAAAGAAATTTCATACTTCCCTTCATGTAAGAATATTGCTTTAAAAATCTCCACATCCAAAAGCATGATTGGTATCCATGCTTATTTATGAAATTAGCCCCAAAATAACACCAGAAAGAGAAAAAAAAGTATTACAGAGAAGATTTTAAAAGCTTTTTATATATATATATATATATATATATATAATTTCTTAGAGTTAGCCTGTCGATAAAGACTATAAATGTAAAAGACAATGGGAAAACTAATAGTTGCTGACGTGTTTTGTCTGATGTGGACATTTTCAAGGCAAAAACGAAATTAATTTATTAAACAAAATAACTAATAACAAAAAATGTCCTTAGCAACTGAAAGAATTTAGAGAACGCTATTTTCATACTGTTAACTGAAAAATGGTATCTTCACACGTGTCAGTAATTGACGTAATTTTCAGTTAACAATATGAAAAGAGCATTCTCTAAATTCTTTCAGTTGCTAAGGACATTTTGTTTTATTATTGGTTACTTTGTTTAATAAACTAATTTCGTTTTTTCCCTGAAAAAGTCCACATCGGATGAAACGTGTCGGCAACTATTACAGTTTTCCTCTTCTCTCTCTCTCTCTCTCTCTCTCTCTCTCTCTCTCTCTTTTTTATATATATATATATATATATATATATATATATATATGAGAGAGAAAATACCAATTTTGGTGTGAAAATCTACATTGGGGATTGATAACAAAATGACGATTTGAAGGATGAAAATATTTTCTGACATGTCATTAGATTTCTAGAAGGTCAGAGTTATAAAGAATAAAATAGGGAATCTTTTGCATTTCTCTGAATGGCTCAAAGAAATGACTTCATCACTTCTATTAAATCTGACCATTTTAAAAAAAACTAGTCTTCATTATTTACATTATTTGGACTATTGTCCTCATCTTTCTCACCATATTTATTACAATGTTTCCACCATTGTACACTCCAGCCTTCTTCAGGTAGTTGGAATGTCGAACTTAACCCCTTCATTTCGCTCACTGGGGTAGACTGTTCTAGTTCCACGTGCCATGTTTAATGGATGTCGGTTATTTTCTGTTAATTTCCCTCTGAAAGTTCTCCACTGCCTTAACCAGGTATTGAACTTGCACTCTTTGGATTCTGTCACTGGATCTAACCAACGCCTTTATCCACTGTGCCATGTGTCCTTGAGGACACATAAAGGGTTAAGTTCGACATTTCAACCACCTGAAGAAGGTTGGTGTGTACAACAGTCGAAACTTAATAAATATGGCGACAAAGATGTGGACAATAGTCCGAATAATGTACATAATACCTCATCTCAGAAATATAGACAGATGCTGAAGTCTTCATTTTAGTATTCTAGAAGACGACCATATTTGCAACAAGCAATTTGCAATATAACATTTGTAGTTGTCAATGATTGTAATAAATTGAGAGAAATTATCTTCTATTACCATATCAAGTTACTGTATCGTTGACAATATACCTGAAAGGAGCAGACTTAGTAAATTCTTTGTGATTTTAGTAATCCATCAGCTCTGCCTATCTATGTCAGCTATGGGTGTATTATTTCTTTTTATTTAATGTTATTTAATTCCTGTTAAATATTTCTATTAGTAGTTTTGTTAACTTTTAATCTTGGGGTGATAGGATCTGCTGATAGCTGCTAAAATTTCGCTTTATAATGAAGTGTCTTGTTTCGTGATGAGTCACATGACTTCAATCAATAATACTGTTTTTGTTCTTTTGTTGAGTTTTAAATAAAGTTTTAGCACCTGAAAGGTGGCAATGGCTGTAAAACTGATCTTTCAGATCATGAAAGAAGATAACAGGAATTGAATTAACCCAAGAAAAGTAGTCACTTTGTTTATTGAAAACCCAAATTAAGAAAGCATTTTTTTTATATTTAATAATGGCTGGCTACTCGTTTCTGAGTATGCCTGTCAGCTGGACCGGCTAGCCAATCCCTATTGCAGATACTTGCTCAGGCACATTAGTTTGTTTGACACTCACAGAGACAACCTCTGGTTTATACTGCAATTCTACTGAGCTTGCATATGATTTGACATTGTCAACATTTTTGGATAAGGCCAGTACGTTCAAACCATGACACAGAATGACTTGTGCTAGTGCCATCATCAATATTTCATTGGGTCTTACATCCATATCATGCTGAAACACTTGATCACAAAAGTTAAGTAGCATTGAGCCTGGTCAGTACCTTTAGTGGAGACTTATCTCAACAACCTAAAAGGCCAGTTACATGTATGTTTTGTAATGGAGTGTGGAGACTGTGAATTGGAAAGCTTCTGAGAGGTGTTACTTACTTGAGATTGAGGAACAGTGATAGTCAGCGTTTGTGGAATTGATTTGCCTATTGAACTGTGTACCACTGTTTTGCTCATTGGACTTGTATATAGTATTTTGTTGTGTGTGTGTGCTTCTGACCAATTCGCACACAGTATCTATATTAGTGACCACTTGGAATACCAGGTGCTGTAAGCTTGGATGTACAGGTGGTGTAATGGATAACAGCTCGAAATGGAAATCTGAGAACCCAGTTTCAATTCCAGTTGGGTTCATTATATTCATTTAAGTGCAAAATACCCTTGGGGAAAGGTAGAAATCCAGCTCTTCTCCCCTCAACTATGGGTTAATTAGTATGACTAGTATCAGTAAATGATTATCTCCGAAAAAGATTACAATCTAAAAATATTTTCTGGCTTTAATTAACCTGCTTAAAGCTGTTAAAAAAATAAAATCAATCAACTGAGTTTTATAGGTTTGAATCTCACCATGGTCAATTTAATAGGAAGGTGATGATGTTATCAGCTGGTGGGAGATGATCCTAGCTTGTGGTACCTTTTGGAAAGTAACTGAAAACCACACTTCAGGTTGACCCTAGTCTTGTTAGTAAATTCAGAAAGATGAATTTGTTTGTTGATGCTTGTACTCATTCATAATGTAGCAACTACTGACTTAGTAAATATTATGTGACAAAAACTCCAAAATGAAATTTCTTTTGAGTCTTATATGAAAAGTCAAGGTATCTGATTCAGCATTTAAACACTTACCTCTCTTCATGTTCCCACACAAAATGTCATAGATCATCTCGTGTTTTTTTTGCTTTTTTAAATGAATTTTTTTCCGTTTTTTGGTTAGATTAAAAAAACAAAAAAATTTTTTTTACTGAAAATTGGAATATGAGCCAGCTATTATTTTATTAGGTAACAGTGAATAAATGGTTTTGAATGATGCAGTTAAAAAAAAAAAAAAAAATCTATATTTTGTGAGGCAAGGTATGGAAAATGTGGCCCAAACTCTTTTAGAGATGGAATGCAGTTTGAGAATTAAACTAAAGAATTTTAATTTCAGAAATTATCTTTTTTTTTTTTTTTTTTTAAATCCTAATTTGAAGAGTTATACTTATTTCATCATTGATGAAGACTCTCTGGTTGCTATCAGGAAGAATAAAGAGAAGATTTTGACAGAACAGATTGCTAAGAGTTATAAAATCGTTATTTCGACTGCCTTTCGCCACTTGAATAGACTTTGATTCATGATGTTTTTTTGTTTTTTTTGTTTTTTTTTGTTTTTTTTTTAATAAAATAATTCTGTTGTGCTGACAGTTTTGTCAATATAAACAATTTCATCGATTTTACTGATAATCAGAAAAAAATTATTCCAAACAATTTAAATTCCATTTGAAATAGAAC